CAGTGTTGCATTCAGATAATGGGATTGATCATATTGGATTAACAATCATGTTATTGCTGATGCCTGGTTTCCTTGGATATGGACAGTATTTAAAGAATATGTAATTCCTCTTTCCTTTTAAAATTTTGTTGATCCTTTACTTCATTTTTACAGGTTTTAAGCGTGTTGACATCATCTAAGGAGCTGATTGACCTTATAAAGAATGTAGATACTGTTTTCCACTCTAAGCAAACTGTCTCGAGCAAATTGAAGCCTGATAACTTGTATAGATTTGTTCCATTGATTCGTGAAAAGTTGCTGGTGGGTCTCGACTCTCATTTCACTTGTACTCTCTGGCTGTTTCTGATGTAAAACAAGTTTAATGACATTTTTAGCAGAAATTATTTTTTGGAATTTGATGTCCTGTCATTTTGTGCAGCTGTTTTGGAAGTCCTAGTCTGGTGCTTTTGTATGTGTGTTTTTTAAGGTTCCTAGGCCACATTTGTTTATGAGGGTATTTGCTTTGACATAGTGTTCACCCACCATCAAATTTTAAGTTATTTATTTTCCAATTATCCATTGTTGCCACCAGGATTGGGAGTATGGCTTATGTGAAAGTGATGCAGATGGATCTTACTTGCATGAGAATTGGAACAAGGATTTAAAGATCTTTAGTAACGGAGAAGATGGAGGACAACAACTGCTTCAGGTTTCTATCGCTTCTCATGAAAAAAAGAACTATGAATTTGTAGTTATCAAGTGATATTTATACTTATTCTTATCAAGTGACAATGATTATTTTCTGCAGTTGTTTATATTGCGTGCTGAATCTGAATTACATGCCGCTTCTGGTCATCATGTAAATGACTTGATAGATTCTTTAAAAGCTCAGGTGGGTTGCTTATTTGGTGGCAGTAGCATGAAGCCAATTCCAATCTCACCGGAACTGAGACAGACTGCACACTTCCGTGATGATATATTCAAGCCCAGGAGAGTGGGCAACCATGCAGTAGGTGACATTAGATACAAGGGAGACTGGATGAAGCGCCCTATATCCAGTGATGAAATTGCATGGCTCGCAAAGCTGCTTGTCCAGCTATCAGATTGGCTAAATGGGAGCCTTGGGCTAAACCAAGCAGGGTGTGGGAGCAGTAATGCAGATTCTAAATGGCCCTTGGTAGATGTCCCAGTTGATGTGGACAATGAGTGTGGACCTGCAGAGACCATAAAAGCTGTGTGCTCTGCAATTTGTTCTTGGATTGTGATGTTGGGGACAATGATAGTGGGGCTGATGAGAAAACATGGAGTGAGGGTAAATCTTAGGGTGTTTGCTTCCAAGAAGGTGGCGACGGTGTTGTTTGTTTCTCTTGTATTTAGCTTGTTGAAGAAAGCCTCTGCATCTCTTAGTTCATAGCGCGGGTGTAAAACTGTAAATGACAGTGAGGGGGAAGAATATACAACGGCTATAGTACTGGAAATGTAAGAATGAAAGTTCTCTATTTCCTTTTTTGTTTCTTCTCTGTAAGGAAAAAAAGAAAAAAAAGAAG